TTTTTATTTATAAATATATAATTTTATTTAATTAAAATCGTGTGCTACTCATTATATCTTAATTTTTCATACTCACCACACTTTGTTGAGTAAATTTATTTGGGCAAATACTTACGCTTCACATAATCTTTAAAATTAAACGCTTACGAAATTATTCACGCGAAAAAAACCTCACCACACCCAAAATTTTCCAATACTAAAACCCAAACTCATCACTTATTTAACACACCACCTAAACGTTTAAAAAATTTGCAAATCTTCACTAAAAATATTCACCATACTTTATATTCACCACGCTATGAAATACGTCAAATAACATTTCCTTTGTCTATTTCTCACTAAAACATATCTCAATAAACGTACCACATTTTATACTTACCACAAATTTTTTTGCTTATTTAACCACTCGTATCTTATTACCTCATATATCACTCGCTTTATTTTGTATTTCACGTCATTGTTCACTATTTTATCCGTCGTTTTTACATGTTCACCTCTCACCATTCATGTTGTAATTTGTACGTAAATCTGTCTGTCTTTACTTTTTTGAACTTAAACAAAAAATATCACAAAAAACTAACAATAATTCACCTCCATGCATATATTTGCATTCCATTCACTTTTTCTTTTTCTCTTTCACTCTCGATGCCGTTACTCACTCACACTGTATCAACATGCGCCACCATTTATCACTCACCTGGTTTATATATTCTCTATAATTTCCCTCTTTATTTAAACTCTTACCACTGCCCTTCCGTTTTTTTTATTGCTCCACTTTTCGACTTCATTTCGTCTTTCGTTTCGTACTCGCTTTTCTTTGTTTTTTTTTTTCTTTTTTCGTCGCTGCTCTTCTTCTTTCATCTCTGCAGATCGTGACAGCAAAGACAAGGACAAGGACAAACCGGGTAATAATCAACTTGCGGTGCCGCGACTCTCCGTGTGCGCTGACGCTCAGAAGGTGGATCGCGCGAAGCTGGCACAGACTGAATTCAACATTATCGAGTTCGATCCGGACACGTTTCGGGTGCTACTGGACTATCTGCATACCGGCACTTGTCCGCTGACATGTGTCTCCATACCAGGTGAGCAAAGCGTGGTTTGTCGGTTGAGGTAAGGTTTCGTCTAAACTACTCTCATCTAAATTTTCCTTGCAGGCCTGCTCTGCGCTGCCGAACACTACGATCTACCAGAGCTTCTGCAGGCTTGCTTCCATCATTGCAAACAGTTCCTGCGCATCGAGGTTGTCTGCCCGATGCTGATTTCGCTGGAGAACTACTACTGGCGCTACACGTCCGCCTCCGAGCTGGTCAACATGATACTCTCCTTTGTGGAGAACAAAGCGCATGCGCTTTTCAAATGTCCCGAGTTCCTCAATCTCTCCGAATCGATGGTACAGATGATAATGAATCGAGAGCTGCAAACGCCCGAGATACGAAAATTCGAGGCGATGCTTATGTGGGCAAAGAATAAGGTGGCGAAAATGAAGAATCACCCGAATAAGGACACACAATTTGAGTTCGAATGTATTATGGAACGATTGACGCGCGATCTCAATTTGTGTCGCATATCGCCCAGTGAGCTGTTGACGGTGGTGCTGCCTTCGAAAGCACTGAAGAATGAGCGCATCATGGAGACTCTCATGATGCAAGTCAATCTGGGCACTTATCGCATGCAGGAGTTGGACGAGTACCGACAGCAGTTGCGCAGCCAAGAATCAGCTGAGGCGACGGTACAAGTACATCGGGGTGGATGAGATAGTAAGAATGTTAGTTTCGATTTTGATCGCGGTGATGGTGGGGGCGGCGGAAGAAGACGAGGGAGCGACGACGACCGTGACGGTGATGGTGATGATGAGGACGAGGAAGGATTGGGCGCACGCGCGATAGCGATATCCGTGCGCGGGGTGTCCACAGAAACATACGATGCCCTAGACAACGAGGTGGAGATGTACGCCAGTTTCGAGGTGGCGCCGAGCACGAGTCGTGTTGCTGCACAAATGCAGAAAGTGCGCCGCAAGCGATGGGCGGCTGATGGCGCCTCGGGCAGCAGCGACGGGGGCGGTAGCAGTAGCGGCCCCAGGCATTAAGTGCAGCGGGAGAAAATTTTGCGATGGTGTGGTATATTGGCCATAGAGATGGGCGTGGAGCATTGGTGGGCGGGTGTGGCCTTTATTTCATAGACTCTTTAAACTTTAATTCGAAAATTTGATAGTTTTAGGCATTTTTGCTCAAGTGTTTCATTTCTCAATTTGTTTCAAGGTAACTCGAGTTTATTAAAAACTTCTACTATTCTTACAATCTTTGACGTGATATTGAAATACGCAAAATTTTGGAATTTAAGCAAAAAANAAGGTAACTCGAGTTTATTAAAAACTTCTACTATTCTTACAATCTTTGACATGATATTGAAATACGCAAAATTTTGGAATTTAAGCAAAATAAACGAAATATGATTTCCAAAGCGTTCCACTGCCATGATTTGTTATATTTTAAAAATTTAAATTTCAGTGTTTCCCTTTTGGCAATCTCTTTCTTTTCTATATCATTCGCACTTTGTTCCAAGTGTTTCTTTACCTTTTTAAGCTCAGTATTTCACATAAATTCCAGTTCATTCCGTACCATTTGCACTTTGTTTCACACTTAATTCTTATTACATTTAAATAATTTCCTTGATTTTGAAGGTTTTGAATTTTTAGTTTCAATACCATTCGGTTTCACTTCTGGCTTAACTTGAATTTCATTTGTTCCACGAAAAATCAATCCCGATATCATCTAAATTGTCTGAAATTCACGAAAACTGCACTTAATTCATTTCCCCTTAACTCACCTGTACTTAAGACTCTTTCTTCGATTTCATTTGTATTCCTTACTTCTGAAATAAAATTGAATGCATTTCTGGTACTTGCAAATATTTTACATGTGTTATTAAATTTAGTATCAAATTCATTTCGCTTCCCAGTTTTTTTCTAAACCTAGTTCATTTCTTTTAAATTTCACTTTGTTCCATTGCGTTTAAATTTTACTTACGTACTTGCCATTTCGCACTAAGTTTCATTACCATTTCGTTTCTTTCTGTTTCAAAAATTCCACTTCGTACCATTTCAATTCGATAACGTTTCACTTCACCTTATGTCGGTGTTACTGAATTTATCACGTGTTAAT